GGGTTGGGGGGAGGGGGGGTGTTATGCCATGAGGACGTTCGGCTTAAAGACACATCCCAGGGGCGTTTCTGGTACCCACTTGTCATTTTGCTCCTCAGCATGGCTGCCTAAAAACACTGCAGGGTTTCTCAAACATGCATGAATGAGTCAAAGCAAGGCTTTGGGCATGCTTTTTTATTAGAGTATAACATTATAACATGATATAAAACTCAAAAAAGTTGATTTTACATGATATTACCCCTTTAAAAATGGAAGACGACGGGGAATCAGCAAATATAAAACAGACAGAAAAAAATCAGGGGCTTCAAATGTGTATTTTGGTCTCCTGGGTCTAGGCTCCTCATCATTATAACCTTAGTCATACTTCATACTTCCTTTCCTTTTATCTTTGACACACTCCGTCTGTTTCTCATCATGAGAAACCCCAATATAAATACAGTACCAGGCCTGCACAGTTCACAAGGCACTACATGCATGGGATTTCTAAAGTCTTTTCCTTTTTATAGTAGCTTTTAGTTTTCAAATTTAAACCAAGTAACATTTTCAAGAATTCTGAATCCTGGACTATTTGCGAATCATACAAATATTAAATCTACACACTTTATGAATGGAAGACAGACATCACAGATTACACCAGAGGCTGAGACCATGTTATTTAAAAAACACAACGGTTATATAAATCCACTGGGAAAACCAGGTTCAAGACCAAATGACCCTTAAATTCCCCCCATCAGACAAAAAAAAAAAAGGTGTTCGTGCAAGGATCACGGCTTTTTTGAGAACTTCACAGCCTGTAGATCGCTCGACCAACAAGGTGTGTGGTAAGTTGCAGGACCGACCCACAGGGAGAGGAACCCTGAAATGGAGTATGTACTGTGTGGCAGTGATTGCCCTTCTGCTGTGTACCTCATCTCTTCTTCCAGGGTATGCAACCGTGAAGTCAATCAGCATGACACTAGGACATCAATCACTCAAATTCCCTTTGGGCTGACCTGCTTGCTCCTGAAAGCACACAGAGACAAGAAAAAAAAGAAAAAAAGAATATTTATATTTCTATAGATGATCATGGCTATAGGGTATTTTTGTTCCTGCTCATTTCTGCCATAGMTTGCACATTGTAAGTACTCATTTATCATTTTACTGTACTTTTTTTAATCTCAGGGGTCTTCCACTTGTTTTTGTTGATTGAAATGAAACAATGCTTTAGATCCTCCTATTTTTCAGTTTCACAATCTACCAGAGGAGAGAGAGCTATATATATATATATTTATTATTATTATTATCCAACATCCACTTTTGTGCCATCCTCCAAACAAATCTCCAGCACCAAAGGGCCGTTGGCCCCATTAATAATTCCCTCTCTAATCTCCTCTTTCCATCTGATCAGGACTTTTCTTCACAYCCCCTCTCCATTTCTCACCTGCCCCAAAACTCCATCAACACCTCCTCCTCTCCCTCTGTGCAAGGTTCAACGCTTTTGATGTCCCGTTGTTAGCTTAAAATGAGTTTTAACAACTGTATAATCTGAAATAACATTGCCTCAGCCTATTCTTGGACGGATAAGGAGAGAATAAGACCAGAAGGGGGAGAAGAAAGAGCATGTTCCGAGCTAATGCATGTTCCCTGGATGTGTAATGTAATCATTTTTGTGAAAAGGAGCAGTAGCGTACAGGGGAAAGGAGAAGGGTAAAATGGATGGAAGAGCAGGGGAGGAGATGAGAAAGGGGCAGGGTGAGAGAGAAAGGGAAGAAGGGGGGTGGCAGATGGAGGCAGGGTGAGGTGGGGCTGATTTAATCTATTCACAAACCCTGCGGTTCCAGTCAAACCACACAGACAGGCAAAAAAAGAGATTTGACCAACTGATCAAAATTATAAGCTCATATGCTTCTTATATTTTATAGGCAGATGACCTGCATGGGGGGTGCTGCCCTGCCAGTGATGCAAGTGAATATGGGATAACAGTAAATGATCTATTTGAGCAAAATCCTTCACTTGATCTGACTTTGAAGCTATAGAGCAGCTTTATTACTTGCACCATCTTTACAGCATGAAAGAGCCAACTTTGAAATATTCCACATATGAATTGTTGATGTGGCCAGAGTTTAAAAGTATCTCTGTGAGCCAGCGTGCTTGGCTGGAAGTTCCTCTGATATTTAATTCATAATCATTATGCAACTCAGCACAGAGCTAGCCTTTGGTCGACCTCAGTATTCTTTGAAGATTTCATTATTAGGGATGGCAATCTTCGATACTGCGAAGGGAAGGGGAAAAAAAGGACCACACTCTAATTCACTCTACCGTGACTCATCATTACACTCCGGAGCTTCAGCAAGTAGCTGCACCACCTACTTACTGTCCTCATCATTACTAAATCCCATTTCCTTCTTCCCCTTTACCTAGCATTAAGGAGCCAGCCCTCCTCCCTTTCTCCATTCAAACGCGTGGTATTGGATGTCACTAACAGCACTTATTCATCCTGCAAACACAGCTAAGAAGCCCAAGCTGCTTTGCTGCCAGTCCCTGGTGTGGTCAGAGTAGGAGGCCAATTGTGGCCAAGCCATTGATCGCAAGAAATAATGGATCTGACTTTGGCTGATAATGCATGATGTAATTGTCAGAGGAGTTTAATTATATGCTTATTACATGGCACACTGAGTATTCACCCTCCCTCTTCATRTACTGCACACTCCTTGCTTTTTAAAACCTAAAGCAAAAAAATAATTTAAAAAATACTATCTGCAAGTTCTGTACACTTTGGCATGAGACACTGAACCTAGATCAATTCGATCKGAGTGGTGTTTCTGCTCTGGTTACTACAAGCTTTTTAGAAAGACAGAGTGTAAAAGGTAATACGATTTGCAAAACATTAAAACATTATGTTTGATTCAAAAGGTTTCACTGTCAGGATCAAATTAAATTCAGTTCATCAAAAATAATATACTGAAGAAAAAAATTAAAATCAGCTTTCAAAATCAAGCTTCTCATTAAATTAAACTGCATTTGTTTTAGTGACATGTCACTGAAGAAGGTTTAAGCTATTGAACCTGGAAATCTTCCTAACTAGTAAACATCAATAAAAAACAATTTTCAGAATAACTATAATGAATAACCCTTATCTCTTTTTTACAGCTGCCAATAAATAGAAAGAGGAAATCTGAGACAAACATTTGTTAGCTTTCATAT